GATGATCCTTGTTGCACGGTTAACGCAGCTCATTGTCGATAGAAAAGAGGTACACGATTGTCAGGAATTTGCATTTCATTTTAACTACTAGATTTTCCCCGGCCCGGCGCTTCGTACGCTCGAAATTGACGGATATATGATAATGGGAACCCAGCGTACCTAATGTAAAAATGTAAACACATCGGCACATAAATACGATGTAAGTGACTTTGTTCATGTATCGATCGGTACGCGAAATAACAGAGTGAGACATTAACGAAAAAAGAAGTTTTTCAAAATCCTATTATCCAATCGGGCCTAATTGTGAATGTAAACCATCCGGGAAGACACATAGACAGATAAAAAACTCTTCATCAAAAGCCGTCAGTCAACAATCGTAGATAAGAATTTTATATTAAAAGATTGGATAGGTACCAGGTTTTAACAGGTTGCATACAATATTACTATGTGCAATGACCTGCGGCCAACCACACCACCCACAAAACTCGATCATAACTTAACTAAGATCGGAAAGATAATAAATATGTATTGAGGCTGAAAATTATCTGCAGGTGGAAGATATCAAAGGCGTCGGCACTCGCAAACAAATGGTGAGCTTAGTCCAAGGTCATCAACTCCAAACTCGTACGTCGACAGAATTGTAGGTGTGCTTACAGTTGAATTAAATTGAATTTGTACTTGTCCGTTAAACTGGTAAAAATTAAAATAGAACGTGAATCCTAAACTTAAAATCAAATGTCGTTTGAAATTACTATGTGACAAATATCAGCCGAAAGAAAGATACGATTCAAGTATGTTCATTGCAAATGGTGGTACTTACGAAGAAGAAGCAAATAACGTAATTATATCCTCTTCACATAGGAGCTATAAGTGAATCCATCGACTACTGCGGAATTCCAAATTAAATAAATTCAATTGCCAGTGGTTAATAAAATATGGATGACGGCAATTAAAATTCCATGCATTCTCAACTAACGCCTCAGCTGTTGGTTTTTAATTAAAATGAAGTGCACTGTTACAGCTCACAAACAAAATAGGAAGACGACAGTCGATAACCAAAAAGCACAACGCCGGTAAAATGCACGCTAAAATTGCGTGTTCAAATTCCAACAATAGATGGAGTCATCTATTAAACTGCTTCCCAAAAGGTACGGGGATCATCCAACAAAATATACGGTTGAAAATAATAATGCGTGTAGTTAAGAATATAAACCGTTACACCATTTCGAAACTCGTACGTAAAAACTACTGAAGAAACACTTGAAATAAAGTCCGTTACACCCCACAGGCGATACCTGAGACAAATAAACGAAGAAAGTCTTAAAATTACTTACACCTTTTTAAACAATAGTCCCTTAATCTGGTCGTAACAACGGCGGTGCGATATTCCGACGTACTTAGCACTGATACAAAAATTCCATTGAAACAAGGATAACATAAACTGGCTTAATATTAATACAAATACAAATTTTCAATGCGATGGTGAACAGCCATTTTAACAATACTTGTAGATGAATATTAAAATTTTGGTCACAAGTTACTATTGTTAAAAAAATGCTTCGCCCTGTATCTTCGCAACAAAGCGCTTTTTTAAAAATAATCAAAGGATAAAATATCCAAATACAAGTCCAAGGAATAACCTGTTTAATTTTTTGCCCATGTTTAACAAACAGCCTGTATACAACCTATGATAATGCATGCATCTTATTTTTATATGGTGATTGATAAAAACGTTATAGTTTGTTATTTTTGTGGTATTTAAAGCAGGAATAATCTTTGCATTTCTTTATCATTTATTTTTGTGTGTTCTGTATATATTTCATACTTGTTTATTTTAACTTTTGTTTTTGAAATTGGGCAAGAAGTTTATACAGTATGTCCAGAGATAAGGTTCAGTCTGGTTCAGTCATTGTTTAAAAAAGTATTTACACAATGGTTCAGTACACCTAAACTCGACCAGTTTTTTCGTTTTTTAAGAAAAAAGCCATTGGTCAATAAGCGAAATTTCTTGGTTTCAAGGTTCAAAAAATTAAAAGCTATAGTATGCATGGATTCGTAATTTTTTGCTCTACAAAAAACCTAAATGGACTTTATCCCTAAAATAATTAGGGAATCCAATAATCAGAAATGTAAAAAAATACTATTCAAATTCCTATGGTGCGTTAATCAAGTTACCATGCACCCGGTATAACTTTATAACAACGGTTTATTTGGTTTTTATCGCCCGGCGCCAAAATAAATAGACTTT